CTTGTCTGAATTGCTTTTTCATCGAGTTCTTGTCCTTGACACTACTATAAAGTCAAGTATCTATCTTAAAAAATAATATCTTCAAAACTTAAATAATCTATTTAAGCCAACAATCTTGAGGTTCTTATGATATATATATATATATATATATATATATATATATATATATTGACAAGATTCAAGGTACCTTTTACATAATAATACCAATCTTGAAATGAATCCATAATTTTAAATTTTTCTTTATTGTAGATTTCATATTTAAACTTAATTACTAAAAATTTCTTGGAATAGAAAGCTATTAGGTGAAGCTTGTCATCTACTTCTATATGTGACAAAATGACAATCATAATAAAGTTTGATGCATCTATTTCTATGAATAATAATTTGAAAATATTGATATAATATAAAATTGATGTAAAAATAAATACTATCTTTAAAGCTTCAAAAGATGTTTTATCTTCATTACTTTACTTAAGTTTATCTTTACCTGTCAAACTTGTAAGAAGAGCCACAACTTGAGATAAATTCTTGATGAAGATTTTGTAATTATCAGCAAATCTTAAAAAATATTGTACATCTTTGTTTATTTTTGGAATCTTCCAATCTATGATAGTTTAGATATTCTTTGGATCTATGATAAGAACATTCTTTGAAATGATGTATCTTAGGAAGTCAACTTGAATAATGTAAAATACACACTTTTTTATCTTAACATATAATCTTGTATTTTTAAATTTTTGTATGACATGACAAATAAGAACTTCATGTTCTTTTATATTTTTTGAGTAGATTAGGATATCATTTAAATAATAGATAATAAAATTACCAAAAAACTTACAAAAAAAATCATTCATTATATGTTGAAAAATAATTGGTGTATTTGTAAGTGAAAAAGACATGATATTATATTTGAAATGTCTACTCTTTGTTTGAATTATAACTTTCCATTCATCTTATTCTTTAATGTGCACCTAATTGTATACTTCTTATAAATCTATTTTTGTATAAAGCTTTACTTGATTTAGTTGATCGAAGTGTCTTGAAATAAAATATAGAAGATACTTATTCTTAATGGTGATCTTGTTGAGTCTTTGATAGTCTACACATATTTGTAGAGATCTATCTTATTTCTTCACAAATAAGATAGGAGCCTTAACTAGAGATTTAAAATGGTGTATGAAAATTTTAGCCAAATTTTCCCCAATATAGTCCTTTAATGCAACCAACTCGTTTTGTGTCAGGCTTTAGATTGATCTAAATGGTAGTTGAGCTCCTTTTTGAAGGTCAATAAAATAATCATGGAAACAATATTCTAAAAAATTATCTACATTTTTTTTTTCAAAAATGTCTTAATAATCTTGGTATTAGCTTGAAATACAAATTGAAATCTTTTCTCCATCAACAATAGGTGTCGCATATATAATAAAAATTGATCCTTCTTTTACAACATGCATGAAAGTTCTTGCACTTACAAATAATGATTTAGATGTATTGGTCTTGTGGATTTCTACTTGCCTAGCAAAATCTTAGGCTAAATTATGGAAAAAATCAAGGTTACAAGAAATCCACTCTATTTGAGGATTGTATTTTTTTAGCCATAATAATTCAAAAATAATTCGGTTAAAAAGAGATCTAATTATGTTAAATATTATTAAACTATTATGACTATTATTTAGTACATTTAAAAGAATAGTTTTACATGTAACATCTCCAAAAGATAATAAACAACCATCTATTACTTTTGTATGCACAAGTTTGATTTTTTAACTAAAGATGTATCTTATTTTTTGAAAAAGTCTTTCTTTATAAAATAAGTTGAGGCTCTTAAATTTAATGAGGTTAAGACTTTGTGATTTTTTGGTCCTAAATAAACTTCTATTATAAAATAAGATGAAGAATTTGATAAGAAAATAGAATCATTAGATATTACATAAGATTCTACTTACTTAATCTCTTTTATAGTTGAAAAAACTTGTTTTCTAACATCTTGTTTTCTTTGGCAACCATGCTTATTATTTTGTAATTGCATTACTTCTTTACATAATATTAAACAATGTGCTTGGACTCTCCTTATATAAATATAAATCTTCTTGACAATGATAAGTATTTTCTTGTTTAATAAGAATTTTAAAACATATTGTATCAATTTACATAAAATTTGGCTTAGAGGAGTAAGCTTTCAAAAACTTAAAAGATATTGCTATAGCTTAATTTATACTTCTTCAATCAAATCTTTATTCTTAGTATTTTTTAAAGAGTCGGTTGTTGCATGTAATGGCTTGAGCAATAAATTACTCCAATGAATTTGCTCTTAGCATTGTCAACAATAAAATTTTGACATTATTTTTTAATTCATATCAAAATTGATTGATAAGGACTTTGTTATTTCAGTCCATGTTGTAAGCAAGATTGTGGAATTCAGCAGCATATGTGGTGATTGAATGTGATCATTATTGTAGAAATATGAGCTTAGTCTCTACTATCCTTTTGCAATCACTTTTTCCAAATGTAGCTGTAAATACTTTCAAGAATGAATTCAAATCATAGAGTAGTTATGAATGTTTTTTCATCAAAGGTGCAAATAAAGAGAGAGTACTTTGAAATAGAAGTGCTTTTATAAATCCAACTTAAGAAAATCTATTAGGATATTGAAAAGAATACAATCTTAAATAGAGCTTAAATTGTTATAAAAATCCTTGAAATTTTGATCTTATACCAACAAACTTCTCAAGCATACTAATCCTTGCTTTTTTTGTGCTTGTAGAAGTGAAACTTTTTGAATTTGGTTGTGAGGCTAATCTACTTGCTTCCCTCAATTGCACAACTTCTTGGTATAGATTTTGAACTTCTTCTATAGATGTAGGAATAGTACTTCCGAGATTGGCATTACTAATGTATGAAATTTCTATCCTAAGAGTATTGATAAGCTTATAAAGATTTACAGTAATTACAAATCTATTCTTACTTTTGCTAAGAGTAGCATCCATAATTTTTTCTTCCATTGACAACTCAAAAAAATACAAAAGTTAAATTAAAAGAAAGTAATCCGCAACCTCTAATGTGAAATAAAAATTTCTATAAAGAGAGGTGATCTACTTTCTTTAAGAAAAAATTAGTATTAAAAAACTAAATTATTTGTTTAAAGATGGATAATCCGCAACCTTCAAAATACAACAATAGAAGTGGAGTAATCCTCTCACTTCTAAAAGAAGATAAAAATAATAAGTTAGCACTCTCGTCAAATTATTAAAGATATGAAACTTTAAGAACTAAAAGATCAAGACACCCTTGTATTACTTGAAAAGACTAGATAATCACTCAAAGATGATGTAATATTAAGCTAGAATGGCTATTGCCAAAGACAAGAAGACTAGAAAGTTTTGAAACAAGAGTGAAGAAGGCTTCATTCTTATCTCCATATATACTATCTAACTAAGAGCTATGTAGCAATATTCTACAACACCTCTAACATATATTGACTTTGCAAGATACATATCTTGACTTGTAAGGCAAGTTTTCTATATGTGCACCATATAGTTAGCTTGTTCTATAAGCTACTAATATGTGTGACATGTGGTGAACTTGTTGACTAAGTTTCTAACTTACCAATCAACTACAAACACATGTAAAGTCAAAACTATGTCTGAAGCTTCTAAGAAGCTTATCCAAAAGATAATATGAAATTAATTTATTTTTACTTAATTCTATCTAATTATATATGTAGTTATTAGAATAAATACATATGTCTATGACCATATGTTACAAATTTGCTCAATTGTTAAAAAACAAACATACATTGTTTTTAACACATTCAGATCTTGGAAAGCATGCAATTCAAAGGATGTACGCACAACAATAGAAGAAGCATCACCTTAGCTAGGTGCTTGATTACTTATTTAGATGTTGAGAATCTGTAAGGCAAAATTTACAAGCCAAAATGCCAAAAAGACAAGTTGAAAACTAACCAAAGGTGATATCATAAAGGCATGCAGTTTGGACCTCATATGAAGTCAAAAAAAGTAATGGAATCCATGAGAATTTTTATGCCTATGTTGGATTGGTGATACCTTAATATATTTGAAAGTATATTTGCTATTATCAAGAATACAAGGATATTCTTCATATTTCAACATAAATCAACATAATTCAACATTTTTTTTTTTTTGTTGAAATCAATTAGCTTAAAAATTTCTAAAATATTTCTTTTAATAATTATGCTTAGTTTAAAAAACCTTTAATAAGATTTAAATCTCTTTAAATTTCTCTTGTTATTTGCTATTATCAAAAGTTGTTATTCAATAAGAATTATATATTTTATGGTAAATTTTTTTTATTTTTTAACAAGAAAAAAATCACATTAAAATACAGCAATGTAGATTAATGGCTATGCAAACACAAGACTTTCAATCCATGAGATAAACTAGATTGAAAAGATAGATAAACAAGATGTTGAACGAATTTGATTTCGTCTTTATACACTACTAACAAGACTAGAAATTTAAACAATTTAATAACTTTGAATAATTAAGTGAAATCCAATCTTTATTTTAATTTATAACATATCATACGTAATTCAACATAATTTAATTTATCTATGATCAAATAAAATTTTATGACAAGTTATAAAAGAAACCAAAAAATTTAAATAATTAAGACTTTTTTGAAAACTTCTTGAAAATGGTCTTCTTTTTTTTATAAGATTCTTAACAGCCCCCAAAACCTCAAAACCTTCTTACTAAATAAATAATTTAAATATGGATCGGTCAAAGCATTTGTTAGTGATGTAAAAACTAAAATATATATATGAAATAATAAGAAAATGAATACTGTTATGCTTTTTGAGATCACTACATAGCTTTATCGATGGCAACCAGTGTCTACTGTCCACAACCGTGCAGAAACTTTTGGAGCTAATACCAACAATCATGAACCGTGAAAAAACCATCTGATAAAAGTAGACCATATATATCAATATACCAAACAGAGGGTGCCAAAAGGTATGCAGAAAATATCCTCCTCCAGAAACACAAGCAGTTGAAAAATTGTGATATTTACAAAGCTCACTGCCCTCACTCTGTTCAGGCGCCAAGAACAAAACCGCCGAAAGAAGCCAGAGACATGCTAAATTCATTTGCCACTACTTTGTTGGTGTCGATTAGTCTCCTTGCAATGCATAGTGTAATGTCAATGTTTACTCCAGTGAAATCAGGAAGTCTCGTCTTGTCTATCCATTGCACCGCACCGCACCGCACCACACCACACCTTTGCTAGCTACAGTAGTCCTCATTCCTAAAAGAGTTGTATTTTGCCACGCTTTGTATTTTCAACATCGCTCAACTTACTAAGGTAGGATTTAATCGTTGTATAGCCTTGACATCGATAAAGCGCCTCCAAGCAAAGGGCGCTCCGACTGCATCACGACTGTATGCAAACAGGCGCTAGTGCAAATTCGTTCACAATTCTACCTCCAGTATTGCTCCTCTGGTTCTCTTAAATTCATTCTCTAATCCAAACATGTTACGGTGAAAAGAGTGCTTACAGCTCCCCACTCTCAATAGCCACCACCGTAGCCACCACCATAGCCACCCCCTCGACCTCCACCATAACCCCCTCCACCGGAAATTCTTGCACCATAACTACCACCTCCACCTCGCCCACTAATTCCTGTTTGACTAGGACAATCCTTGGCAAAGTGCCCACCTTGGCCACATTTATAACAATTTCCGCCGCCACCGCCGCCAACCCCTCCTCCACCATACGCCGTTGCGCCACCTCCATACCCCGTAGACCCTCCTCCATATGCAGATCCACCTCCTCCCCCAGAATTCGGACAATCTCTAGCGAAGTGCCCTTCCTGTTTGCATTTGTAGCACTCCATGCTACTCCCTCCGCCAGATCCTCCCCCGTAAGAGCTAGCTGCAGCAACACCTCCGTAAGAACTACCACTTCCGCCATATCCTCCACCAAAACCACCTGTTGCTGCTCCATAATTATTTTGTGCCTCCACAGCTGGTTTCACATTGGGTGTCTGGATCGACCCACCATACGCAGGTGTCGCACTTGGGTATACACCTGCAGTACCACTAGTACCAGCTGCCCTATATTCTGGCTCACCTGAATTCAAACTTTTAATCGAGCCCAGCATTAGCTTATTCTCAGACACCCAATCCATACGGTCTACCTTGACCAGTGTGGATTTGGTTCTTTGCTCATCGTTGTATGTCTCTTCTTTGACTTTTAACTTGAATACATGTTTCGTAAATGTAAGCTTTTGTATAGCTTCACTAAACCGCTGTGGCTCATCTTGACTCCATAAAAACAGCTCTTTCGCTGTATGCTGCATTAGTTCCTCTCCGGTCTCCTGAAAGACAGTTATCCATGTTGGGCCGGTATGATCCTGAACTTGAATGCTCAGCAGATACCTGCATTCAATATTGAAGTCCAATTAGCACCGAATTCCAATGGCACATTGAATTATATGAAGGTAACTTAGAAAAGAGGAAAGGAGGAATCTGTACATTTCTGAAATGCAACAAAGATCAAAATCACAATTGAATCACACCTATCAGATGAATAGAAACAATCAACATGTCAAGACATTAAGAAATTGAGAACTAAGGTGCTCAACGGACCTGTAATCACATTCGGGCACAGAACGGTCACATCTATCACAACGCCATGTGCCATCTCCATTATTTGTCACTTTCTTCATACACTGCTTCCCGTTCACCTCAAGAGGACAAGCTGGATAGCAAAAGTTCTCTGGTTTGATATAGAAGACAGTGGCTCTAACTGTTATCCAATCCGGCTTGTCACCTCTACCCAGTCCTTCATCCTTGATAGCTGCGACAGTTTTCCGCTGTTCCAACCGCCCTCCACCTCCACCTTCTCTAGATAGAGAGACGGTCGCAGTATTCTTCCCCTCCCGCTCAAACCAATCCCGAACTCTCCGCGCTTCCGGGTGATCGGGGTTTATTGCCAATTGTGTGGAAGAAATCGTGCCCACAGACTTGCCGCTAAAGTCGCTAACTCGACCAGCTTTCACTGCTAATACGGGATTGGCACCTGAATCACACAGGTCTTGCAATTCTTGACCTTCCTTACTACAGAAACTACCCCACATAGTGAGCTCCACACTACGGTTAGACATATCCTTCATTTGTAAACTCCTTTTCTGCGTCTCAAGACCATTCTTGCGCATGATTGTGGTTGTTGGATTGATTGACATCACCACTCCAACAATATCTATCATGGCGTTGTTCTCCAATGCTTCTACCTCAGAAATTGGTTTGAAGTCGTAGTGCTGTTGAGGTATGGATGAGTCCTCTTCGTAGCAGGGTTCAATTGTAGTCTGTGATTCTAGAAATATTTCCCAATCGTTCTTCAGATGATTGAAATTCTTCTGAGCAGCCTTCAGGGAACCTTTACTGATCAAATATACTTTTCCAACTTCGATACGTTCATGAAATTGATCTACAACGTTGTTAAAACAAGTTGCCCGAATCTCTCCACCATCTGCATCGAGCATATCAAAGGAGAATACTTTGCCTTCTCCTTTTGCGTTGTGAAAGCGCCGAATCTCCCCCTTAGCTGTAATGCGAGCTTTGATGGTCCAGCGTCCCTGATAAGGATTCAGCGCAGCAATCGGAATGATTCTGGCAGGAGCTTCATTCTTCACAATAGGTCCTCGGTTCCCATACACGGGAGCAGGCTGATAGGCAGCCATAGGTCGTCCATAAGCGTTTTGTTGCTGACCTTGCTGACCATAACCTACTCCAACTCCATTGGCAGTAGTATTCTTTGGTAAGCCTAACTCGGGCTTCACTCCTACACCTGCAGAGGAATATGGATTGTAACCGCCTGCTGGTGCTTGGCCCATATTAAAGCCTCCCGCACCATTGGCCAGCCCTGCCCCCAAAGTCTGGCCTAAATTCGTGGCTGCGGGCCTGTATCCAGAACTGCTATTCGCGGGATCCGTTGCAGTGGAGGGAGCGGAAATACTTGGTGATGGTTGCTGCAGCTGAGAGCTCCCTGGACCAGGACCCGGGCCAGGTCCTGCTTGGTGCTCTCCGCCTGCAACCAGGTGCTTCGGATCACCAATAATGTCGGCCTTAGACTCCACGATTTCCATGTTGAGTACTATTATAATTCTGCAACACATAACAAGACAATCCGCAGAACATAACATAGATTGAGGACTTATTTGGATTACTGCAGCAGCTTCGTAACAAAAAAAGACGAAGTCAGTAATGCGTCTAGCCAGCGCTTCTATAACGTGACACAAGCTGTAATAAAGACACTACTGCGTAATCGAAGGATGATGCCTCCACAGTATAACCATAATCCTTGTGAAGGAAGTGATATCATGCAAAACTGCAATAAGATAGCCCATTGGTGTTGAAGGAAAAAATCATCACATCTAAGTCATCACATGAATGCCACTATCCTCAGCAATGCTTACTTTCTATTCTGAACAGTATTGCATATGTATTCCAGCAGCTGCACAATCGAGCCCTTCACAGCCAAATTGTTCTTGACTTTCTCATTCAATTGCGTCGCCAACATTGCTTGCTGAAGGTGCACGCCATCCGAAAGTACCAACCGGAACCGCTCCGTCGTAGTCTGCGCATTCCCTATCTGCCGTATGTCGACAATCTGCGAAGAACGTACAACTTTGAGGACTCTAGACATCACAATATCCACAAAGCAGCTACAACGCCTCCTACCGCAGAGAACCGTATGCCACACGCAACTCGAAACAGACATCTCCAAGCTCCAGAGACAAATGTACCGCTTAACTGAAACTAGAACAAATGCTCATAAGACATGCAAAAAAATTTCCGATCTTCTATCACTGAAGCCCTCCAAAACAAATCTATTACCTACACCTCTATCTCCCACCGCGCACATAGAAACTACAAAAGATCTCTCTACAAAAAAAAACACGAAAGTCCTTTTTCACAAACCTGAAGCACGGGACGAAGCTCGACGTCGCCATTGTTGAGCGCCACAATGGCGTTGGACGTAAGCATCATCGCCATGACTGACGACCTCTCCGATTTCTAACCTAATTCTACTCCCAGTAATATTGAGTGACCAAAGCCCGCATGCTACATGCCGCTAACCTCAGTAATCTCCCAGCTCAACACATCACGCTGGACGGAGTAGCGTTCTATTCCAACAAGGCTCGACAATGTTCAGCAGAGGACGATGCATCCACACAGGCCCCTAATGAAATCACGAGAAGAATAGAAGCTCCAGGCTGCGGAGCAGTAGCTTCTGTGACAGCCTTGAACCCAAGTAAGTCAGATCGCCCCGCCCTTTCTCCTCATTCGGGATATTATCTTCCCGCCACTGAGCCGGAGACTAACTTCCACGAATGTCGTCGTCTTTTTTCATCCAAATGTGTACATCAATCGCAGCTTTCATTCATACACACACATTGCACATCACCTTGACACGTGTCGATTCCTGGATGGCTGATGTTTCTGATGAATATTCGCCGTCGACCATCAGATATTCTGTATTTCTCGACGGGCCGACCCTACCACAGCCGTCAGATACAGATAAAATAGACCACAATAGAATGAAAGGTTCTATTGAGTTTTAGAAATGTCCTTTATACATAGATTCTTTGGAATGATGGGTGGCTTTGTTCACGCAAAAGTGATAGTATTGAACAATTATTCTTCATTGATCTTTATGCAAAATTGGTCTTTATGCAATTATATGTATATGTGTGTAAGTATGTATGTACTTAAAAACTTTGATATATGAGAGATCATGTAATTTACACACAAAAATTTATGTTTAAGTTTTAGAATAAATGTAAATAACCTCTTTTTTAAGAAATATAATAATAAATTAAAAAATATTTTCTTATTCTAATATTTTTAGATTAAATTTTTTTTTAATAAAATAGATTAAAATATTTATCTAATTAGGATTCAAAATTTTATACACAAATGGTATTGTGGAGCTATATATTTATTGTATTATTATTATTATTATTATTATTATTTCAAGTTTTAAGATATTAGAGAAAATATTTACATGTAAAAAAATATACAAACATAAAAAATGTCTATAAAAGTATAAAGATATTTTAAACTTTGTACTTAAATAAAGAAGCTTTAAAATATTACAAATATTTATTATATAGACCTTGTTCTAAATTAAATAAAATAAACTTCAAACTATTAAAAAAAATCAATGACCTTTTGAAAAGAAAAAGAGAAAAAAGAAAAAAAGTAATACAAATATTTAATAATGTATGTGTAAATATTTATTCTATAAACACCTAAAAAATCATAGGTTAATAAATGCAATAACAAAGTTTATAATCAAATTATAACCCACCTAATAAAAAAAAATTCTTATAATTTTAAAATTAAAATTATAGATTTATTAAAAATTTTAAAATAAAATATTTTCTAATTTATATTAATTTTTTTAAAAAAACCAAAGTCTTTTGGAGCTTATAAATCCTTTTATAATATTTTGGGTTCCTATATATTCTTTAAAAATTACTTGAAATTTATTTTGTAGCTTTTCAAAAGCTCCAAAAGTATTTTTTTGGCCCCCTTGTATCTTAAATTTTACTTTAGAATTATAAATAAAAACACATTATGTATATTATTTATTTTTTAGGAGATATCAAAAAAATTATAGACATAAATTAGATTTATATATTATTTTAAATATGTTATATGACTAAAATAAGATTTATTTATCTTTTAAAAGCTACTTAATAAATAATTTATAACTTGGATGTTTGATTTACAAGTTTTATAGTCATCAAAAAGCTTTTAAAAGACCTTTTCTTTGATTAGTATTTGTAGAGACAAGATCAAGATTATTTTTAATTTTAATTTATATATATAATTTTGTATTGTAATATAGTTTTAAGGTTTTTTAATTTCTTAGTATTAACAATAGTTATTATGATTTATTTATTACTTATAAATATTTATATTTTTTAATTTATTTATTCTATCAATAATAAAAAATTATTTTATATTTTTAGAAGTTTTTTATATTTATATCTTTATATCATAAACATACATATTAATACCAATAATTACTAAAAGAAGAAGAGTTAGATAGAAGTAAATAAAAGTAAATAAATTTAATAATATTTTATGGAAAAACTTATTTGAAACTCCATAAATATGGATTTGATTTTACAAGTGTTTGTAGGTGATTGATAGGTTGGAAACTTAGCCAACTAGCTAACTAGCTATTACACATGTTGACTATTTGTTTTACGAATTGGCCACATATTGTATATATTAAAAAAAACTCTTTGCCAATTAAATATGTATCTTGCAAGTCAAATATATGTTGGATGATTTATAAAATGTTACTATATAGCTCTTTAATTAAATAATATATGGACCCAAACTAAGGTCTTCTTCACTCTCATTAATATTTTTTTATTTTTAGTCTTATTTCAAGACTCTCTAATCTTCTTATTTTTGATAATAATTATTCTAGTTTTAATATTAATAAAATAATTAAGATATTATTAAAAAAAATTAATAACATAAGTTTCAATAATAAGAAATAAAAATATATATAAAAAAATATGATATATATCAAAGAGAGATGACAATAGTCAAAATGCCATCAATAGTACTTTTTACCTTCAAAAGTATGACTAAACATCAAAATTTTCTTTTAAAATTATAATATAAAATGCATTGTAGCTTGCCATCTATCTAAAGAACATATTGTTCTCAAATGTCTTCATCCATATTACATTCTCTTAAATGTTATGACAATATTAATTTCTTGTTTAATAATTTAATAAATAATAAATTTTAAGTTGAATCTATTGGTTGATGATTCTCTATTTCTTTAGTAGTACAAATACAAAAAAATCATAAATAAGAATAAAAGATAAAATAAATTTTTTATTAAATATGCTTTTTTAAACTCTTATTCTTGATTTTGATGAATATTATCGATAAAAAAATATTAATCTTGTCTTCTACTTTTGCAAGGTTTCTAGATGGCTTTTATTTGATTTTATCAGTATTATATTAGATCAAATAAAAAAGATATTCTAACTTATTTTAACTTTGTTCAAATCTTAAACTTCTTCGATCTTAAATCTTTGATTATTATTGATTTCTATAAGAAGATAAAATATTTATCTTCTTTTCAATATATCCATTGTTTTGTATGGATTTTTTAAAAAGTGAATGGACTATTCCGCATCTAGTATTGTATTTTGAAGATTATAGACTATTGACCTTCAATCTAATATTTTAATTTTTTAATAATATTTTTTTCTTTAAAGAGAGTAGACTACCTTTCTTTGTAGAAATTTTCATTTTATATTAGAGATTGCAAATTAATTTTTTCTAATTTGACTTATAGATTTTTTTTGAATTGATTATAGAAGGAAAAATTATGAATATTATTCTTAGTGGAAGTGAAAATAGATTTACAACTATTGTAGATCTTTACAAGCTTATCAACACTCTGATGGTGGAAATCTCACATATCTCTAATGTCAACTATAAAAGTAGTATTTTAACTCCTATAGAAGAAGTCAACAATGAAAATCAAAGTCTACACCAAGAAGGTGTACAATTGAAAAAAAACAAGTAAATCAAGTTCACAACTAAATTCAAAAATTCTTCTTATTATAAGTATAAAGGAGGTAAAAACAAGTATGTTGGAGAAGTTCAATAGAACAAGATCAAAGTTTTAAAGATTTCTATAACAAATAAAATTCTATGTAAAGTTGCTTCTTTCTCAATACTCTTATTAATTTACTGAAGTTGGATTTATAGGTGCACTTCTCTTTGAAAGTGTTCTCTTTTGATTTATACTTTTTATGGAAAATGATTCATGACTATTTTATAAATTAAATTTATTCTTGGAAGTTTTTAAGGCTACATTTGGAGACGGTGATTGAAAAATGGTAGCAGAGATCAAATTTATATTTTTATGAGAAGAATTACATTGAGCAACCATATATGTTGCTAAATTCTAAAACCTTGCTTGCAATATAGATTGGAATAACAAGGCCCTTATTAATCAATTTTGATATAATTAAAAGATAATGTCAATTATTTACTGTTGGTAATACCAAAAATATACTTATGACAATAATTTATTTCTCAAGCCATTGCATGTAACAATAAATTCTTTGAAAGATGCTAAGAATAAATATTTGATTAAAGAAGTACAAACCAAGTTATGGCAATAGATTCTAAATGCATAGAAGTTTATTTATCAAGACCAAAATCTATGCAAATTGTCATGGTACATTTCAAATTTCTTATTGAACAAGAAAAGACTTAATGCCATAAAGAAAAATTGTGCTTATATTGTAAAGAACCTAAGCACATTGGTTAACATTATCCAAAGAAGCAATGCAACTATAAAATGAGGAGCATGGTTGCAAAAGAAGATAATATGTCAAAAAACCATTTTATCTAACTATAATAGAGACCATATGATTAAAATCTTATACAATACCTAATAAAGGTCATATCTTCTCTTTAGATTCTTCACCTTGTTTTACAATAGAAATTTGTTTAGGACCAAAAAACCACAAAGTCTTAGCCTTGTTAAATTTAAGAGTCTCAACTTTTTTTTTTATAGACAAAGATTTTGTTAAAAAATAAGAAATATTTTTAGCTAAAAAAATCAAATGTATGCATGTAGAAATAATTGATGGTAATTTATTTTCTTCTAATGATGTCATCCATGAAATTATTCCTTTAGATATAATAAGTAAAGATCATAAAAATTTATTAATATTTTATTTGATTACATTTCTTTTGAATTCAATTATTTTAGGATTATTATGGCTAAAAATATATAAACTCTAAATAAATTAGATTTTTTATAACCTTAATTTTTCTTATCGTTTAATCTAAAATTTTGGTAGTTAAGTAAAAATCTATAAATCTAATACATTCAAATCCTTGTTGGTAGGTATATAAGCTTTCATGTATATTGTAAAAGAAGAATAAAATTTTATTATATATCATACATCTATTTTTGATGGGAAAAAAAATTTGAAGTAGCATTCTTAGCCAATATTAAGATTATCAAGACATTTTTGGAAAAAAAATATGGATATTCTTTCAATAACCTTTAAAAATGACCTTAACTACCATTTGGATCAATCTATAGCCTACCACAAAACAAGTTGGCTGCACTTAAGAAGTATATTGAAAAGAACTTAGCCAAGAACTTCATTTACTATTCTAAATTTTCAAAAATGGCTTCTATCTTATTTGTGAAGAAAAAAGAATAGATCTTTGTGAATGTATGTGGACTATT